GCGGCTATATTGTTGACATTCTGAAAGCATGATGTGTTTGAATAGTCAAGGCCGGCTATGGCTTCCAAATCAAGATGTAAAGGACAGTCAGTTTGATCTGTTGAGGTGCTGATCTGTACCAAATGAGTAAGTTATCTTTGTGTAACTATTATGTGTTATTGTCTGCAAAAATACATCCAGACACCTGTCTTTACCTTGTAAATATTGCCTAAAAAATATTGCCTACTATGAAGCCCCTGAGGGGATGTGGTTTAAAAAAAATGATAATCTTCCATATGGGGAAAAAATATATTCACATTTTATATACTTGAAATATATTTCAAATACATTGCAATCCAAGCTGAAATACATTCCAAACACTAAAATGTCTTTCAGAATATACTGCCATATTAACCAAATATATTTTAAAATGTATTGGGGAAATATTACACATAGAAATGTACCATACAAAAAATGAATGTATATAAATATATTTACCAAATACATATGATAAGATTTCATAAATATGAAAACAGGCAAAATATTTGGCGAATGCACTTTACAAATACAAATAAAATTAATTTGTATTTCAGTATCTTCATTTTAAACATTAGCAAATGAACCTTTAACATGGCAAAAGCAAGTATTGCAGGTATTGATACTCTGTGATACATTGTGAAAATGCAGATATCTTGTTTATTTGAATTATTTTGTGTAGTGCTGTTTTACTGCATACATACACGGTTAAGGCAAATTACAATGCAGAACACAGAAGTGACACATTAGACAAGTTTTTTGCCCATTTTCATACACTGCAAAAATATATTTGATAAATACCTTTGGAATATATATTTTTCTATATGGAAACACTGCATTCCCTTACAAATTCACTGAATTTTAGGAATGCAAAACAATTGCAAGTTAAAATGTTTGCAAGGCAATGGATTATAACTTCACCGCGACCCAGAAGGATAAGCGGTTTAGATGATGGATGGATGGATGGATGGATGGATGGATTATAACTTTAGCTTAAGTTATGTGAGCCCTGCTAATGTTCTGGCATTAACTGCACTCCTTGTCTAACTAAAGCACAAGAGATCTAGACTCAATCTAAAAGTCAATCATCAGCTCCAGTTGTCAACCATGAACAATTCTCAACACTCGAAAATCATCAGAACTTCAGTGTTCATCCTTCACCTACCTGTCTACCTGTGACAGACAGATGAGAGCAGACTTCGGTAACGTTATGAGGAGACGGCTGAAAATTTCTCCTCTTTATTCTCACTATCTAAAGATTTCTGCTCAGCTTTTCAGCCTCTTTTCCTCACGACATCAGACAGCTGGGATGCTTTATTAACTATCGGTGTACAAACCGTGGTTCTACAAGCATGTCTATAGTGTCTATAGTAGAGTTCATTTCACACAATGTTATCTCGAAGTTCAGGAGTTTTAACTCGCTTACGTTTTATTATTCATATTGCATGTAATACAGGGGTTCAAGTGACTTTTATTATTCCTATAGGCAAAACTAGCTTTAGACCAGGAGTTAGTCAAGTCAAATCAAGTCAAAGTTTATTTATATAGAGCTTTTTACAACAGGTGTTGTCACAAAGCAGCTTTACAGAAAAATCCGGGTCCGAGCCCCCATGAGCGCCAACGGCGACATTGGCAAGGAAAGAACTCCCTAAGAACAAGAGGAAGAAACACTGAGAGGAACCAAGACTCAAAAGGGGAACCCATCCTCCTCTGGTCCACACCGGATAGCAAACTGCATTATTCCAAGATTAAAAAAAGTATAATTTATTCTTTGTCACATAAAGCTCTTTGTAACTGCCAAACAAGTTTTTGTCTTGCTTTCACAACCCTATCTGCACTGCTTAGTGGTTGCTCTGACTCCTCTGATACACACATTGTGCAGGAACTCGCCCAAAAAATATCACTGAGCTATTATTTACCATTCTTCTTTGCAAATTATTGTTGGTAGCAGCACATTACAAACAGGACATATTTTATCTTTTTATTAAAAAAGAGTTTCGAATATGGACAGGACTCCTATTTCAGAATGATGCACAACTCCAGAGCTCAGTTCCTTCTCTTCTCCTAGTTTTAGGTGCATCGTATCCAAAGTTTTGCAGTAGCACCTCATTCGCAGTTGGTTAAAACGTTTGCCTAAGCTCCTGGTGGAGTCTGAGCCAGATTTCTCCATTTCCCACAATGTCTATTTATGTTATATTCCCTACACTGATGTGTGGACTTTCCTTTTCCACTGTCTACCTATTACAGTGAATTAAAACGTGATTAACAGAGGCTTAGAACTGCCTGTCGGGTGTTTCCTCAGTAATTTCAGTGTGCCATTAAGTTTCATATGTCCTGTCTTTAATCTAGTTATAACCCTTCCTTCCTTTCTGTGAAGCACCCACCACCTACATTTAGCTGAATATTATATAAATGTCTTCCGTTCTGATTACTGTCCCAAGTGCCCTAACATCTCTTCAGCGCCCATGTCTGTATTAGTTTTTTAATTTTAGCCTCACTCCTACTTAGCTGAACTTCCAGAGTAACTCCTTGTTTAAAGGCCTCTGTAGCGAGCTCGTTAACCTCTTCCTTTTACACCACTATGTGCAGCAATCCATTAAAACTGAACTCAAGTCTCTGAATTTTGTAGTTCAAATATTGAGTGCATTTACATGCACGGAATAATTCTGTAACTGCAGAAAATCAGATTTTGTCAGTAACTCATTCCTGCACTTCATCAGTATAATGGGATAACGGGAAAACTCCAGGTCTACATGAGTCAGGCAATAATCGGATTCCCAGTAAACAAATAAGACTTGACAAACGTTTAAATACTGAATCACTTTAACGGAACATATGAATATACATCATCGAGAACATGACGAATATTTAAATCCTTCATTTCATCAGTTGGTTTCAGATTCGCTCCAAAAGTGTTTTGTTGCCATCTTGCTGGTGCTGGTTAAAGTCCCAGAAACACAGAGTAAAATATTGAAAATGTTTGTATGATACTAAACCTGAGTGTCAGCAAAGCCTGAATGAAAAGTATAAGATATAAATATGATAAAACACAGCTTAAAAAATGCTGATCAGACCTATCCGAGAACTATGTGGGCATGGCTAATGAGCTTGATTGACAGCTCTCTGTCTGACATTCCTAGTCTGCTCTGCTCCTCATACAGAACTAAAATCATTATCCAGCTTTTATGTGACGGTAACCGGATGAAAAAAGTCACAGACAAACAGACGTCCAGACAGACAGACAGAGGACGAACGAACAAGTGGACGAATGAAGCAACGCCTAAATGAAGGAGCAGACATACGAACAATGTTCATGTATAGATAACGAATGAACAGGCAAAAGGCAGCTGCAGACAGGCATACTAGTTTACTAGCTTTTGGTTATGCTGGGTTAGCTTTAGCTCGCTAAGTTTCTCGGACTCAAACTGTTTGGTGTGGGCGGGGCAAGAGAGATCAGCCTTGTGATTGGTCAGAGGAGTGCTTATGGAAGTATTACCGAAGATTAGAACCACCAAGTTTACAAAGAAATATGGTGAAATACATTAGTCATTTATTGGTCACGGGAACAATGGGCCTCTTCCACTAATGTCTTCCTACATTTTTTCTTAAATTTGTTCTTGAGAAATGTCCTAAAGTAAAATCTACACGACGTGTTCTTAAACCACAGAACTGTTCTCAACTTTGTGCTCTTGAGTGTTTGTAGATTCTGTTCTTACCTAAGAACAAATTCCAAATAAGAAAACACTGGCGAATGACAGAATCTTCATAAAAACTGCATAAGTGGGTTTTAAAAGGAAATTTCTACCTATGAATGGTTGGTAAATGAGGCCCACTATTCAAAGGGTGTACTTAGTACATGTTTATTGTTTGCCTGCAAGAGCAAGATTAGAAAGAAAACACAGATTTATATTTCCTGGGTCTTTAACTGCTGCTTGCCGTTTTTGGGACAGCACTGTTTTCACTCATGCCAGACTGAGGAAAATGAAAGAAAGGGTACGCATGCCTTAAAAACCCAATCATGAGTTCAAATCTAGCTCTCTTTATCAGATTTCTTAACCAGACTTCTAGACCTTAATCTGGTCTAAGATGTCAGAGTATCCTGTTTACACGACCACTTCAATAATCAGATAACTGCAGAAATCTGATAATGATCGGATTATAAAATGCATGTGAAAGCACTCGTTGTTTGTAAGATTTCCAAACAATAGGCCTCATTCACCAACCTTTCTGAAGCAGAAATTTACCTAGATTTCAAGAAGATTTTGACATTCACTGATGTTTTATTTGGGATTTGTTTTTAGAGAAAAACAGAATCTACACACTCAAGAGCACACAGGTGAGAACAGTTCTGTGGTTCAGGAACACGTCATGAATCTGACGCAGACTTTTTCTTAGGACCTTTATTAAGAACACATTCACCAGGGTATATTTTGGTTTTTCCATTTTAATTTACATGACCAAATCATAAGGTAAATTATGCAGTAACTGCATGAAATAAATGTACATTTTTATTTATTTATTTTTGTAAAGGCTCCCCTCAAATTAACAGAAAATATTTTATAATCATACACATATTGTTATATGCTTACAATTTACTGCTAAAAGCCAAAAATCTTAGACACTCTTTGTATTTTTTTATAAAAATATTTTTTACAGAGCAGATCACTGAAGAGACGCCATCTGTTTACAGTTTATAGCCCAGATTTGTGGAAAAGTGGGTCGACTTTCAGTAGACAAAAAAAATGTTCAGCTTCTTTTATTACAAGGGTTTAAAATTACATCACCCTTCTATTCGACTGGAAAGAAGACAGTTACAGCTCTCATACGACCCCCACCTTTAGAATGTGGCTTATGAAATATGAAAGTGATGAAGAATACGACGAAGTGCGTTTTGGAGCCACCGGTGGTCTCAAGGAGTTGAAAAGGTTAAGAAAAAACTTAGGAAGATATTGGTGAATGAGGCCCATTGTCCTGTCTAACACGAGATAATGACAGTTCTTTCTAATGCCCACCTACAATCAAAACATCTCTCATCCGGGTCTCTTCCTCACACTGCAATCCCATTAACATTACTACCATTTCTACCTGCTCAGTGGTCTGAGGCTCAGAGGTTAATTATCTCTTGCGGGCTCATTTCCATCCAAAATGGCCAATTTGTGCCACGTGTCTTGCCGTAGGCAGCCATGCTACGCTCGATTGGACGGTTTTGTCATATGACCCCACGCTTGATTGGTCTCAGGTGTGATGACTCGCGTTCTCGTTATCCTACAGTGTTTGTTGTGGACGCGGCCGCGCTGTTTTTCTTAAATCTGTGTTTTATTACCCGTCAAGGTCACAAGTCACAGTTTAATCGCCATGGGCGCCACCAGCACCTCACTCCTTCGCTTTTAAAGGGCCACCATGTCTGGAACGAGCAACGGCTCATTTCCAGGCGAGGGGTACAACCTAGATCTCAAGAGCGCAGACGTGCTCAGGCAGCTGGAAGCCCACCGGCCCATCAAAATGGCAATTATACTAGCGCTGGGGGTCATGATCACGCTGGGAAACGTGGCTGTGGTAACGGTGATCTCTTCGGCGGTGCCTGGCTGGTCTAGAAACTCCCGCTACTTTTTACTCTCTCTGACCGGGGCGGACTCCGCCTTCGGCCTCGTCGTCATGCCGCTGAACCTGTGCGTGAGCCTCATGAAGGACTACAACGACGGCCCGGACTCGTTCTGCCACGTGGTGGCGTTTTTCAACGCTGCCGTGTACTCGACGTGCATGTACACGCTGGCGAGCATCAGCCTGGAGCGCTACGTGGCCGTTTTCTACCCGCTCCAATACGCCAGCCTACTGAGCCGCAGGAGGGCGCTGTTGCTCATCGCGCTGGCCTGGGGCTTCCCGCCAGTACTTCTCGCGCCCGTCTCGTGGCCGCACGGCATCATCGAGGTCCGCTTCTCTGCCGCGTCGCTCGTCTGCAACCCGACCTACTCCAGCAACGTGGCCTACTCGCTCGCGCTCACCGCCTTCATCTTCTTCCCCTGCTCGGCCATCATGACCTTCTGTAACCTCAGGCTGTGGGCGGCCGCCAAGAGGCAGCGGCTGAAGCTGAAGCTGAGGATGAGGAGCCGCGCGGGCGGGAACGGGCCTGACGTGGCGTCGCGCGTGCTCGTCCCCGTGATGACCGTGTACTACACTTGCTGGACGCCGTGTATGGTCATCTTGATTTATAATGGTGAGTTTTGATGACGTTATTAGGGCTTTTTTTCTAAACTTCAGAGTAATTCAGTCATTGAGATGTAAAGTCGTGGTTCATTGTGGAGAAACCAAGTCTCTGATTTCAAAATGAAATCCTAATCAAATCACGTTTGTCATCACATTGCGAGGGTGAGTGAAAATCCTAGGTGAGTAGAATTTAAATACAAAAAATATGAGATTTTATATACACACACACATTAGACCCTAATATACACATTAATATACATCACTATTGCTTCTAATGTAGTAAGTTTCTTTAAAGTGAATTTTCTCAGAACATTTCACGTCAAACCACTCAATGACTGTTTACATTTCAATCATTTAATTGTGTCGATTTTGAAAAATTCGTGGATTTCTAATTTAAACGCACAACACTAACATTACTGTATGGACTGCTTTTTAGTGGTGATCGGTAAAAGACTTGTTTTTCGTAATTTTATTACGCGCCCACTGTCCGCAGTGTTATTTATAAACTGTTTGGATCGGATTGTGTGTTTTTATTTTTTTCTGTTATCCCTGCTGAAAAATCTGGTTAAACTGATTGACCACAGTAGGGCATGTTTGAGTTAGATGTATAAGTTGACAACCATGCTATTACGCTCTTTTCAAAACACAGAAATGCGAATGTGGACTTGTGCAAATATTACGTGTGATATATTTGCTGTTAAAGGTGCAGTAAACGATTCTGAAAAAAGATTATTTGAACTCAACAGCAAAAAAAATACACCCCTCCCTTCAGTGCTCCTTCTGAAGCTCTGCCCCCAAATCATGGTTACACGTTGCCAAGGCAAACAATGCTGGGCTAGCAAACTTTTTTTTTTAAATAAATCTTAATGTCCTTAAAACCCTTTACAAACACTGTATGGAGAGTACCATATTATAATGTTGGTGCAAATGCAAACAGCAAGTAATGTCACAAGGAACCAGCAGTGTGACCAGAAAGTCGCCGGTTCGATCCCTGCAGCTGACAGTACGTGACTGAAGTGCCCTTGAGCAAGGCACCTAACCCCCAACTGCTCCGCAGGCGCTGTGGATAGGGCTGCCCACTGTTCCGGGCAAGTGTGCTCACTGCCCCCTAGTGTGTGTTCACTAGTGTGCATGTATGTGGGTGTTTCACTGCACGGATGGGTTAAACACAGAGGTCTAATTCCTCTGTGTGTAAACACAGTAGGCTAAAGGTTCTGAAAATGAAATGAAATGTAGCTGTTAGCTATGTTGTGGGTTAGCAAACTGTCACTATAATTGCTCCTGCAAGGATAACCAGTTGCTATCACCAGCATTTGCAAACGGGGCAAAATAATGCCGACCTACTGGTTCTGTGTAACAGCACTAATAAGTTAATGCTACCCATCTATCAAGCAGAGACAGAACATCTCCATCTCTTTTATATGCCTTCAAACTGTTGATGAAGCTGAAGTCGGCTTCTTTTTGTCAGCTTCTTGTACTGATTTTCCCGTTCCACCTTAAATACTGCATTACTTTCCATTCTGCGCCTGAATGTAACTGCTGCACAATTTACAGTGGAATGGGAAAATGCGAATAGGAAGCCAACTATAGCTTTAACTTGGCGACCTTCCAAATATTTCTCTTTCACCTGAACCTTTCCTACTGCACTCTACCATCTTGCGTGCACGTTGGAAAGGCCATATTCAAAGTGGTCCATGGTGTTTGGATCTGTAGTCTACTAGCTAATCTAGTACTGGGTTAGCAGGCAGGCCACCGATCCAGTCAGTGCCACACAGCACTGCGAGAGTTAGATTCTGGCTAATTGACACAAGTGTTGATGAACTCTTTTCTAAGAGCAAAGTCGAGTGACCGGTGTTGGAGTGACCAACCCAAAACTGAGCCTGTTCAATGGCATTTGGAGCTGTAGTGTCTTATGTTAAGCTAACAGTTTTAGTTAGCAGGCCAAGCTTTCCACACCACAGTACAGGCACATCTTCCAGCTAACTAGATTTTTAAACTACACGTTAGAAGATAAAGACTTATTTCTGGCAGTGCACAGTTGAGTGACTGTGTTGGACAGCTGAAATCAAATGTCTTGTGGTTTGTGGCTGTGAGCTGTCACTGAGCCACTGTCCTGCGTAGTTTTTCTTGGGTATTTCTTAGTCCTATTTTAGTAGCACATCAGAAGGAAAAAGAAACTACAGCTGGAGCGAAACAGCCGTGGAAACTGTGTGGCTGCAGTGGAGGTCATCATACATGAAGTGATTAGAAGGTGTGGATGTTTAGATGGGACTACATGTTGGATGTTTCTCTGGTTACCACTGTTTACAGGCAAGTCTCGCATACTTGGAGACCCCAGACCCCCATAACAGTGCGCAGTGTGAATGGACAGAATGTGTAAATTTGGTTGCTTACTAGATAGACATGGCACAGAAACTTAAGATATATTTTTCAAGATAAATCTTTAATTGCCATGGCATCTTACCTCTGTAGTATTACACAACACTACTGCAGAAAACAAGGAAATACTTTTTCTAAGCTTAAGAAAATGTAATCTGCAACTGTTTACAGCTCCTGCTGCAAGCTGTTCCATTTTATGCATATAAAAAGTAATTAACTAAAGTGAAAGGATGCAAATTCTATTTTTTTTTGTTTTTCATGCTGCTGTATACGCTTTGTTCTGTCACATTAGCCTCTGAATGTGCAGCGTAGCTTTTAATCACCAGTATCGGTGTTATAGCCTAAAGTCTGTATTTTGCTGTCTTTGCCCTTTTTGTATTATTTTTATTGCATGTTTTATCTTTCTCTGCATATTCCTGCTCCTGCATTTTCCAATGATGATTTATGAGCATCTCTATAACCCCGTAATTGACTGTCATTTTATATCTCAGCGACGTCAGGCAGTGGTGTACCAGAGTGGGTAGAGTTCGTTGCTGTGTGGCTACCAACCTCCAATGGCTTCCTCAACTGCATCTTTTACTTCTGGATTAATAAAAGTTTCAGAAGGAAATTCCACATGCTTCTCCACAAGCTCTGTCTAGGACTTTGCCCCAGTGCGGAAAGGAGGCTTGGGTGCACCAAGCCAGTAGGCACTTCTGTAGCGCCTGTATGGAATAACAACAACTCTCTGAATGAGCGATCGTCCAGCGTGTCGTCCACATGTACTCTACTCACGATCGCTGCAGAGACCTACATCTGACATTCAGGTCAAATTGGCATCCGGTGGGCCTCAGCGTGGCCTCTGTTGACCATTCCAAAACTCTGACCCAGATTCCCTGTCTTGCATGCATCTATGAAGGTGATTGCTATGCGTGTGGGTCACGAGCACATGCTGCAGAGCGCTGACATGGAGCCAGAAAGGGTCAACCTTTAGGTTTATGTTCAAGTTAATATTCAACATTCTTCACTCTGTTATGTTACATACTTTTAGCTCATGGGCAGCTTGTGCCTTTTTACTTTCACTGCACCTATTAAACTAGATTCAGTCCTGCTTTGTTAGATTTTTTTTTGTTGTTTTTGTTTTTTTTTAGTTAGTATTTTTAAGTCCAGCGTTCCAAGCAGTTTGAAACGTTTTGTTTTGTCAACTTCGTTTTACAAATCTTATTCTCTTAATATTGTCACTTATTGTAAAAAATGAAGCAGCAGTGCATTTTTTTTTTTCCCCTCCTCTGTTTGGCTTTAATGCATCATGAAAGGTATGTTCTCTCACCTTTCCTTATCGATATGCCAGCGTCTAGCAGTTCAGAAAGGTTAACCTTTAAATTCCAGTACTGCGGTTTATGCAGATAGAAAGTAATTAGGCACTTACATCACATAAAGGTCAGCTCGGCTATGTCTGTTGTTGGAAAGTAACGTTCTCTTCTCTTTTCCTCTCTCTAAAGTGACTCTGCCAGGCCCATGCGTCCGCGATCCATCCCTTTGAGTTTGATTTACTCTGCGTTTGCTTTTGTGATTGTACAGATCGTTGGGAAAGCATTTTTCTGGAATGTCTTGTGTGAAGTAATGAAATCTTTGTTGTAAAATTGTAATATATATTTTTAATATTTGTCAGTAGCACTCGTTGCCTTTCTAGTTAAGAGAAGACGAAAGGTATGTCACTAACAAATGTACAAAACTAATGTTGAAAGTTAAGCCATATTTTTGGGATATTGGGAAGTGAAAAGTGTAAAATATATTTGTAAATAATTTTAGTGTTTGTATAAAGTATCATGTTAAATGTTGGTGGTAATGTGGTGTTTAAAGTTTGTATTGTAAAATAAAGCTTGAAAGCCCTTGTATTAAATTTAGCAAAGAAAATGAGTGTAGCATTTGTCATGGTCATTTGTTTGGCAGATATACAGTACTGTGCAAAAGTCAAAGCATAATAAGTGGGAAAACAAAGGTTTCCAAAACTGGATTGCAAAAAATACATGAAATGGGACTCAACAACTGCAAGACCATCAAAACTGTCACCATCAGTTAAACTGAAATTTGAGCACTTTTACTGTAGTGAAGAGGTTACACGGTGCCAACTGTGTAAATTGCAGGATAGCAGCCATTGTAGTGTACACTGCTCTTCCACGATCAGGAGACAACTCAATGCAGTTCTTGGAGGATGTGTGGGCCTGTAAGTCCTTACTAAGAAAAGGAAATCAAAGAAGCTGCTGGTGTTCTCAGAATGATGGACTGCCAGCATCATTGAATGTGTTTAGGATCCTAAAAAGCACAAAATGCAACAAACGTCCAAGACTGAGCTTTGGAGGTGTGGAAGCATATTCCATGTTCATCCGATTTCAGTGTGCCATGTTTTTACAACCGTGAGGCGCCTAGGAACCAATGACATACCAATTCTAAGAGGGGGTCATAGAGTTTCTGGCTGTCACCGGATGACCATCAGGAGATGGAGACCCCTGAGCAGAAAGCGTTCTGCGTTCTCCACTTCAATAAGAGTGAATCCATCATAACTGTGCAGCGTGATTTTCATGGGCAGTGAACCTCCAACAGCTCAGAGCGTTCATCGTTGGTTCCACAACACTGGATAATCTCCGAAATCGCACTGAAAGAGCCGTGAGTGCAGCGACACCCGACATGCTCAATCCAGTATGGGATGAATTTGACTATGGCGTTGATGTTGTCTGTACAGCTGGAGGAGGTTCATACTGAGCACTTGTAGAATTACATAATAAACTTTAAGCTCATTTAAACCATTTACAGTTCACTGCATTGTTCTGAAATGATTTACAAGTGAAGTAAATCATTTTGAAATAAGATAAATCTTGAGTCACAATGTATATTTCTTCAGGAAAACTGAAAGCAAGTCTCTGAAAAATAATGGAAGCTATAATAAACGCAAAGAGTGAAGATACTAAATACTGAAAGGCTTCTGTATAATTTTGTTATGTTTTGTTTCCTGTAGTTAATCACCGTTAGACTGTAAATCAGATAAATAAAGGGGGGACTTTTGCAAGCTACTGTATGAGTTGCTAAGAAGAGGTGTTCATGTTAGACAGCTAATCGTGACTTGTGCAGCTTTCATAGGCTGATTGACATTTCAATATACCCAAAGGCCTGAGGCTGTATGCCATCAGACCACATCTGTTAAGATAAGGAAGTATTCCAGAGAAAACACATACTAATCACTTTCCTATCATCTGCAGGCCTGAATCCAATATTACAACCTGCAATTTTTTTAAATGAAGGAAAAATCACGAATGTATTCTGGGTGCTTATTTCCTGGTATCTGACATCTCTCTCAGATCTAATATCTGTGCCTCATGCTATCAGCTCAGAGGCATCATAGAGACGTTCTGGAGATGACAGCCTGGCAGGAGCTGCTTGCGTGTCAGACGAAATATCGCCCTTTCTCTGCGCCGCTGAGGAGCGAAACGCATGAGCACTCAGACGTGTGGCCAACACCTCCGGAGCTGTGAGAGGCTGTTTTTGCAGGCTGGGAAAACCCTAGCAGAGCACACACAACTCAGGCTGCAGGAGATATCAGCTTTAAACCAGAAGGTTTGCCTCTTTGGAAAAGAGAGCTTAACATGCTGATGTTTTGTTGAAGGTTCCTATTGGGAACTTGCACATCAACTAAACATGTTAGATTCAAAACTGGTGCAGGACATAGAATAGAGGAAATAGAGGACAGATAGGGCTGTCACGATTCATTGATTACCTTCTCAATTTAAAGTAGTAGTGATTATTCAGAATTTTGCATGCCAGTGCATGTTTTAAAATCTCCTACTGTAGGACACGGCCTGATAGACGTGCCCATTTATACTGGAGCGTATTCGAGAAGTGTGTGCATGTTGACTCCAGGTTTCTAAAGGATTTATTCCCAGGCTGTTCTAATAAGGACTCTTATTGTGAAGGCAGGGCTAGTAGTGTGTGTTGAGCAGGAAGAGCAGGAAACTCCAGCAGCACTGCTGTGTCTGATCCACTCAGACCAGCGCAACACACACTAACACACCACCACCACATCAGTGTTACTGCAGTGCTGAGAATGACCCACCACCCAAATAGTACCTGCTCTGTGAGGGTCCATGGGGGTCCTGACCACTGAAGAACAGGGTAAAAGGGGGCTAACAAAGTATGCAGAGAAACAGATGGACTACAGTCTGTAACTGTAGAACTACAAAGTGCACCTATATAGTAAGTGGAGCTGATAAAATGGACATTGAGTGTAGAAACAAGGAGGTGGTCAGAATGTTATGCCTGATCGGTGTATGTGTAAATGTGAAAACCTGCCCAGTTTCCCAAGAGTTTGGTGGAAAGAATGAATTATTACTCATTTCTCAAATCTGAAGACAAAAATGAGTAAGATCTTTTTTGGCATTATACAGCTTTACCAGCCTTTTGTTGCCCCTGTCCCAACTTTTTTGGAACGTGTTGTTGGCATTAAATTCAAAAACAAAATTTGTTTTTCCAAAAACAATAAAATTTTCTCAGTTCTGACATTTGATTTGTTGTCTTTGCACATCATTGCATTTTGTTTTTATATGCATTTTGCACAGCGTCCCAACCTTTTTGAAAATAGGCTTGTAGTTATTAGGCCCTAGGTTTAAACATAACTGTGTTCTTATGTATGGTACAGTATTAATATGGTTTCAGGCTGTTTACATCATAAACACAATGACCTATCAGTACTATGTTCCTTAGTCCATGTAATTTAAATCTTTAATATCTTGGAGTATTAATACAGAATTCAGTTGATGGATGCACTCATTTGTGTGTGTATATGTCAGGTATTTTACAACAGCTTTGACTGTGGCTCAGCCAATCAGATTTCAGGATTGTACCTGTTTGTTATTGATATTTTGGTATTTTTTGATATTGGTATAATTGATATTTTAGACTTGTTAGTTTACAGCAATTGTCAACTAACAATGGTCTGCTGTCTAATGATATTCCGGAGTCTTTAAAGGCTATGCACGATCAGTTAGTGTCTATTTTTGTTTTATTTTTATTAAATAAAAAATAAATAAAATTACTCATTCAAATATATGGTGGATTACTCAATTATTGATACAACCAATAGTGACAGTTCTGTAGTTTATAGCTTACAGTTATTTCACAATCCCAGTTTTCTTGGTGATGCAGTCCTACATAGTACCAAAAGACGTACATGTTTACTTGCTTCCTGCATACATTACTTTGCTATTTAAATGTTTTGTTCCTCATTTACACATTCACAGCAACAATAAGCCAGTATGACAGGGGAACATAAGTGAAGCCATGCTTTAATGTCACCCAGTGCCCTTTGCAAAATGGGCCATCCCGTGTGGTCAAAAAGACACAGATACCGCAGCACACGCAATCGCTCTCTCACTCCATTGCGGCTTCTCAGGCCCACTGCAGCGCAGTGCAGTGCAGTGTGCATTATAAAGGCTTGGGGAGCGCTTTCAAAGAGTTGCAGGGAAGGCTGATGAATTCAGCTCTCTTTTTCGGTCTCTATAATGGAAGAACGGGAAGAGATAAAGTCTCGGAGCCTGAGCTAAATCCTATTACTCTGGTCATATGAGACCAACTTCCCAGCCTCCTAGAAGGTTATGATTGGACTTAAGACTATTCAGTGCAGGTCATTGAGCTTCAGCTAAATGGGTTTGGAGATAAATCTTATGGGTCAAACAGAAATTTGAGCACTTTTACCTCTTTTGCTGTAGTGAAGAGGTTACGCAGTGCAGACTGTATAAGATGCAGGATAGCAGCCATTGTAATGTGCAC